CTCATATTATAAGGCAAGGTTATAAAACCATCTTTTAAGATCATTTTAGTGAAAGTTTCATCCTTCAAAGCGTACCATTCACTGCTCAAATACTAAACAACCTGCTTCCATTGAAGATATAAAGGGGGTCCATATTATAAGGTAAGGTTATAAAACCACCTTTTAAGATCATTTTAGTGAAAGTTTCATGTTCCTATCTCATAGAATTTAAGAACAATGATGAATAAATAATTTTCGAGCAAAATTTAAATGGCCGGCTGAATATATTACCGCAGGAGCCGCGGCCGCGGAATTTAAATGACCACGTCAAAGGGTTAACGCAACGTATATAGAAGTTTTCTTTTACATTCATGATGCTTCCTTTTTTTTTGGCTTTCTCAACCATATCCATGATTACTGTCATTATTCCATACTAGTGGCGTTTGTTTAGTATATGTTGGGCAAATACCGATTCGACTTTGTTTAGTCTTATGGTTCTTGTGTGTTCCTTGTACCTTGTTAGATTTCTACCATTTTGGCCGATGTATAAGTTATGGCACCTTTGGCATATCATTTTGTATATCCCATATTGTTCATAGGGGTCTGATTCTCATTTTTCATTTATTAGTTTACCTTTAGTGTGAGTTGTTTGAAAGCTGTCTGTATGTTGGTGTTTTTGCATAGTTTTGTGATTTCCTGTATGTAATTTCCCGTACAGGTAAATGTGACCCATTTTTGTTCTTTTTCGGCTTTATTATCCAGATTACTTTTCTTTTGTGTAAGTTTGTTATGTAGTTGTATGATGTCTTCCTTTCTATTGTTATTATTTTGTGCTATAGTAATAATAGTATTTAACTATTTGTCTTTAGCATTTTCCTCAAGGGGTGGTGTGAGAATTTTGTGTATCCAATTTTTGTATGCTGCTAATTTTGTTCATTACGGTTGCATGAGTTGTTATTTATTATTATGTCTGTCGTGGGGTTTCTCTATATTTCTATTTGTTCGTGTTTGTTAAATAGGTTTAAGTCTAAGTAGGCTATTTGGTTGTGTACTTCCTCATTTATTGTGAATTTCAAGTTTTTATGTTGTGCCTTGAAGTGCTCAAGGATGCACTGGGGGGTTATTTTTGTCTGATTATATATTATGAAGATATCATTTACGTATCTAGTATAGTATGTAATTTTTTCATATTCCAGTAGATGTTTTATTCTGTTTTGTTTTAGATCTTGTAGGAAAATTTCTGCCATAGTAATTGATGTAGGAAAATTTCTGCCATAGTACTTGATAAGCGTGAGCCCATGGCTACACACGATCTTGGTTTGTAGAATTTTTCATTATATTGAAAATAGTCTTGATTCAGTATCAGTTTAAGAATGGACTTGATTTCTTTTATGCTTTTATCCATGTGGTTATCCTTGAGTAATTTATTAGTGTTAATGATGTATTCGTGTTTTAACTTTAGACAGTCGTTTAGTTTTGATGTATGTACTTAGCTAGTTTATGTGTGGGTGCATTAGTGTTGTATATAACTGGTCTGACTGGGGCCTCTTGTTTTTGGATTTTAATTTTTGCTTTCATTTTGGGTGCTTGTTGGCTCATTTCAAGTACCTGTTATCTTTTTTTGTGGCTATTATATTTTTACATTGTTTTACAGTATTTTATACTGTTCTTTGAAGTTTTGGGTAGGATCTGTTTTTAGCTCGGTGATTTTTTTTTTGATAAAAATATTGAGTTTATCATTCAGGTCTTGTTTATCAATAATGACCAATGTTTTTCCTTTTTCGGCTTCTGCTATGGCTGGTTTGTGTTGTGTTAGTTTTTGTTGTATTTGTTTGGTCGTGCGTGTTTTTTCTTTGTATTCTTTGTTTATTATGTTTTGTTTTGACCCGATTTGCTGTATTCTTTTGTCACTGAGTGTCTAATGATGTCTTGTTGATTAATGATTTTTACCTGTCTTATCGCGTTTTCTGTTTCGTAGACTTTTATGCTCATTTTTGGTGTAATGCCCATATTATATTTGCTTCCTTTATTTAGTACGTTTTCTTGCTTTTCAGTGACTTGTATGTTGGTCATATTGCACAAACACGGATAAAATGTTTATTAGTTGAGTGTATTTTGCCATGTAGTTGTTTAGTGATATTATCGATTTTATTATTAAGTTTATTTTAGGGTTTTCTTGGTTCCTCATTTAGTCTGGTTTCTATTATAGGCCACTTCGTCTGCCAATATTGTGCATTTCTTAGCTGTAGTTTGTAAAGTTGATTGTTGATATTTTCTTCTTAATATATAAGTATTTTAGTTCATTGTTTATTCTAAGTTTGGTTACTTGTTTTGGGGTTTGCTTAATAGCGTTACTTGTCCCCATTAAGTTTAGGTTGGCATACTTGGGTCTGATGTTTATGTTTTGATATGTTCGATTGAACCATATGTGTGTGCATTAGTTCTTAGTAGTATTGATTTACCAGTTAAAGTGCTAAGGATGGGAGGATTATGTAAGGGTAGTAAAGCGCAATGAAGGGAATATGAGAACATGACATTATGTATTCATTACTGTTACTTTATTACAGTTTTATAGCACAAGTATGTTTCACTTTTCATTTGTGTGTTGTTTTGCTTGAACATGTTTGTGTGTGTTATTTGTCTGTTGTCTTATTGTAGTACAACTGCCACCGGGTGAAAACCCATTTGCATTTAAATAATAATAATAAAATACTGAGTTACCTCGCCCAGTTCATTCGGTTCGTCTATTCTTAAGTTCAAGTTTATATGTTCTGTGTATGTACGAAAGCTGTGCCTATTTGTTTTGTTGTGAGAAGTGTTGGAGTAGTTGATTTACTTATCACATGCACACTCGTAGTTGCAATTACCGGAGAACGATCTGACGACAGCTCGTAGCTGGGTTCAAGTTGCATGTAGTGTGACACTGTGCCTTTTAGTACAAAGAATCCAACAGATCTGGCAACCTATTTGGGTCTCTTGGCCAGTACGTCTCTTCGCCGGTGCTGAGACATTTACAGTTTTGCCTCTTTATGCCATGTAAGAGATTTCTTCCTTTTGGTGTTATCAGTCTCGCGCCCCATTCTTTATGTTTAGCGTTCCAATCTTCACCTGTCAGGAATTTAGATCCCAGTGATTGAAGAGCGCTGTATACTCTCAGGAGTTGTAGCATGACTGGGAGGACAGTAGATCGCAGAAATTGTAAAAGGCCATGGATTAGCACCAACTTGAATACTGGCAGCTTGTATTTTGTCTGACTGGTGGTGTAGTAGTTCATGGTGAGTGACTGCACTTCGAATTATAACAGGTTCACCACCATGTGCAGTGCCGCATAGGTGAGGAACATGGTAGACTTTGTAGTATGATATTTTAAACATTGTTCTAGTAGTGAAGTGTGTCTCTGGTATTAATGCAATATCTATTTTGTATATTTGTAGAAAGTTTTGCAGTTCCAGTTTGTGGTTTGAAAGTCTGTTGGCATTCCAGAGTAAAATTCATAACAAATTTTCCATTATTGGGCTATTTTGTTTATAAGAGTACTTAGCATGTTTAATACCAAACAAACAGAACACACTCTTAGGAACTCTCTCATGAAAACCAGACCGAAAAGAGATCTGCAACTTTCGGCACAGTGCATCTGTAACATTCCCTGTGAATGTGGCTGAAGCTACATTGTCGAAACAGGCAGACCTCTGGCCGTGCGGCTCTGTGAACATAGGCAAAACCTTGAAGAAGGTCTTCTAGAGAAATCGAAATTAGCTCAACACGCCTATGAAGAGGGACATAGGGTATGCTGGGATGAAGCTAGGATTTTGGATATTGAAAGCCACAACATGTAAAGAAAATACAGTGTAGCAGCCCATATGGCATGCTTGGTCAACCCAATTAGCCAACCCAGTTTGGACTTTTCTCCCATCTGGAGCCCCATTGTCAGCAATGAAGTCACAAATTCACAGAGGAGATCTGTATGACGTGATATATGCTTTATTAATTTCTATTAGGTTGTAAATTAGGCGCGATTTACTCCATTGATGATGCTAGTAGTAGACACTATTAGTTTTCACAAGATCTCCCTTCTATTCCATGCTTTAGGATTCATGGATTTGGTTATTAGTTTGGTTTCATGGCATAAATTTCTACCCCCTATCTATCCTGGTTCCACGCATGTGCGTACTTGGAACAGTTTTTTAGTGTATATTTTTCCTGTTAGCTCTCATGGACTTAGCCTGGTCTCAGGTGTTTCTAGCCTTAGTGTTTTGTGATATCAGTAGTCCGGAGTTCCGAGTTCACAGTGACGCAGGTCGTTGATTCATTAGTTGAAGTGTTTATCCACTGCTTGTGTGTGTGTGAGATTGTGGGTCGAGATTATCGGCAATTAGGTGGGTGTTCACATTGGTTGTAGTTGATCAGTGAAGAGTGGAGTCTGCGACATTGGATTACTATATATATTCATTGTTGATAGTGGTTCTTCGAAAACTGAAATGAGTGAACACGAGACAAGAACAGTGGTGCCAAATATGGGTGCCATCCCAGTGCCGGGATAACGGGCACATTGGGCCAAGGAGCGCCAGATACTAAAATCACAGTACCAGCAGCTGGTAGGCGAGTTCTCCAACACAGACACACAACTGAAACAGCTCCTTCAAGTACTCCGCGACATCAAGGACGTGGCAGGATACAGTCCAGCTTCGGTGGTTGACAGTGAACAGTCTTCATCCATCGTCAGCGAGGCAGACGAAAATGGCCAGAAATACTGCCAGGTCCTAAGAGGGAAGACCCTGTTTAGTGCCCTGTATGGCACACACAGTCGCCTTACAGGAGTTTAAGGCCGTGCTGAAGGCGAGCAGTCAAACTGCTCAGTCTGAGGAAACTGTCCTCTTCAACCCAGGAGGACGATTTCAAAGAAGTCCGGCGGCGCAAGCAGCACGGTACCAACGAGGCTGCCCCGACCTCGAAGAAAAAAGTGGCAGCTGCCGAAATCATGCTCCCTAAAGAGGTTGCCACCCGCAACATCTTTCCCCCCTGAAAACATCATTGGAGACTGACAGCACTAGTGCAGAGGGCGCCACACCCGAGGAGGAAGTCCCTGGCAAAGCAGGTAGGCCGCCTCCAATAATATTGACATCATCCACGAATCTTAAACAGTTGCAAAAGAAACTGAAAACTTGGTCAAGGACGACTTAGAGTTCTATAGCACAAGAAACGGAACCATAGTCGTTACGAAAGGCATGGAGGATTTCGAAGCCATCAAGTCAGTCGCATTTCACCATCAATAACCTAGCCTATTATTATTTCTTCCCAAAATCCCAGAAGCCTGTTAAAGCAGTAATCTGACACCTCCCCATCAATACCCCTGCTCAGGACATTTCAGGAGGTCTGAAAAACCTGGGCTTCGATATTATTAGCGTGAAGCAAATGACGACAACCCGTTGTTCCCAACCTGAAGAATGAACAACCAGGAACCTTCCCTTGTTCCTGATAACCTTGCCGCGGATGGTAAAATCGCAGGAACTATTCAATCTGCCAGGCCTTCGCCACATATCAATCAAGGTGGAGACGCATAGAGCTCAGACTGGACTTACGCAATGTCATAACTGTCAACAGTTTGGCCACGTCTGGGCTAACTGTAAAAACCTCCACGCTGTTTGTGTTACGGAGGCGATCACCTGCATAAGGAATGCCCAGAGAAGGAAAACGCTGCTTCCATCCCAACATGCTGCAACTGCCGGTTGGCAGAGGGAGATGAGCCACATCGCCAGGGAAGAACTGAAAAAGAGGAAGGCCAAGAGAACACCGAAAATTGCTATGGAGAGGGTGTTCTCATCGAACCTCATCACCCCAGGTGTGTCCTTCATGGCGGCACTACGAGGCAATGCAGAACAACAGTGACCACAGGCAAATCCCGCTCCAGTACCAAAACAAACTGTTCTGGCCCCTGCACTGCAGAAAGAAACGGGTCAGTCAGTTCAGGCTCCTCATGCAGACAGTCAACCTCTCGACAATATGTTGAGAGTTGTGACTGCAGTACAGCAGATCATGACAGAGATCAATGGTGCAGGGTCTGAAGAGGACAAAATAATGGCCATTACAAAAATTGTATTGATTTAATGGCCACTAGAGTTCATAGGCCACTCAAAACCACAGCATTTAATGTGAACGACATTTGGAGGCAGCGCTATGAGCTCAGTAAACAGCTGCAAGACCTACGCATAGGTGTGGGCCTGTTTTCAGAGACACATCTGAAACCTCATGAAAGATTCTTTCTTCCAAGTTACCACTTTTATAGAACCGACGGCCAGTCGGGCAGAAAAGGCGAACTGCCGCTGCAGTTAGAAAAGGCATCCCCCATAACCATGTAGACCTATCACCCCTTGTTTCAGTAGAAGCGACAGGGGTCAGCATACCAATTGGTAATAGTGAAGTACTGCTTGGAGCTGTTTATGAATCCCCAGGCAGGGGATGCTGACATCACTGAACTCGTAAGCTTTAGACTTAAGTCTGTTTTGGCAGTTGATTTGAATGCTAAGCACCCATTTTGAAATAGCAGAGTTTGAAACCCCTCAGGCGAGAAACTCATGGATTTATTTGTTATGAGTGATTTCGAGATCTCAGCACCACAGTGCCCCACTCATTTTTCCCCAACGGGAAATGGTGACGTGCTGGATATTGTGGTCCACCAAAATAGCAGAATTTCAGGTATTGTCTCCGATATTTTGGATTCAGATCACTTATGAGTAGTACTCCACATACTGGATCATGTTAAAATTAGGAACCTTTCGAAGCCTATTGTAAAATTCACATATTGGGAGCGGTTTAAAAGCCTCGACTCTCAGTTAATATCATCTAAACTAGCAATTAAGTCGGGGGTAGAAGCCGATAAAGCGGTGCGCGACTTTGCAGCCTCTGTTGCTTAGACATATAGGTTGTTCACAAGAAAAGTTACACTTTCTGATATAAACAACGATCTACCTGGTCTAGATCGTTAGATAAAACATGAGCAGAGGCTATGAAAATTGTGGCAAGAAAACAGGGATTCAGCGTGTAAAATGACAGTCAATTGGGTCACAGAATCAATGAGGCGAATGGACCGTAAAAATACACTTGAATGGTGGGGAACAAAAATAGGTAACGCTGAAGTCACACCTCGGGTTATATGGCTCATTGCGGAATCCCTCTTAATGATGGACCAACCAAGGGCACCAACTGGTATTCATTGTGCTTCTGACCTTAAATTCCACCATCTCTAATAAAAAGCCAACGCATTACCTGTGTGACGAAAATCATGAACGGCGGGTGGAGGCTAGAGTTCAAGTTCTGCTCGAAACCGTAGACGACAGACCCCCTCAAAGGGTCAGACTATGTGACGTACAAAAATTGATAAATTACTTGAAATTGAGAAAGGCCTGTGGAATTGACGGCATCCCAAATGAATGCCTGAGGCAACTTCCAAGGCGACCATTGGTTCACCTAACTCATTTATTTAATCATTGTCTTCGTCTCTCATTTTCAAAATACTTGGAAGAAAGCAAAAGTAATAAACTACCTAAACCCAGTAAAGACTTGAAATTCCCACAAAATTTACATCCAATCAGCTTCCTGTCCACGACAGGAAAACTATTCAAAAAAGTAATTTTGAAATTCGTCCGCAAACATATATAAGAAAGAGGCCTGCTCAACACAAGCCAGTTTGCTTTTCGTGCACGCCACAGCTCGACATTGCAATGTCTACGGCTGCGGTGTTCTTGGACATTGGAAAAGCCTTTGATACCAAGTGGCACTCAGGCTTTCTGTATGTTATCAAAATTGGAATTCTTGAACAGTTTCACCAAGCTCTTTTGGATCCTTTCTTTCTCAACGTAAATTCAGGTTTTCGGTTGAAGGCGAAATGTCAACCCCAAGGGAAATGCAAGCAGGGGTGCCACAAAGTTCAGTCCTTTCCTCTACTCTTTCCAATTTGTACATAAATAATGCCCCCCAAACACATGGTGTTCACCTGGCTCTCCTTGCGGACGACACCTGTCTGTATGCGACAGATCGCAAGGAGGGTTTTTTTGTTAGAAAGCTCCAGCGTGGTCTCAGCTAAGTGGAGACTTGGTGTGAGCACTGAAATGTTAAAATTAATGAAGATAAGTCTCAGGGGATCTACTTCTCTCATAGTCGTCGGCCGCCTGAGTCTTGTCTCACTCTAAATGGACAAAATATTCCATTTGTAAATAGTGCAAACTATCTAGGTGTAGTCTTCGATAAGAGGGTTACATGGAGACTCCACATAGAATGA